TGCCCAGCCCTCCCTTCAACCCCTCCATTCCTCCCTATTTACAAAGATTTTGTTCCTATTTTTCCATTTTCTCATATTAATATCCTGGGAAATTTAACAAGATCCTGTCTCAGTGCAAAGGTCCTGGGTTCAATCCCCAGTACCAACCCCCCCCCAAAATAAACCCACAAAAAACAAACACCAACTTAACTTTTGAAGAAACAATGGCATAAAACTTCCCACGTTTCATGGAAAGTATTAATTCAAGAAACTCAGTAAGTTCCAAGTCCTCATCCTAGACACATAAAAATAGGTCTAAAGAAAGCATGGAGCAGGGTGTGGTAGCACACACCTGTAGTTCCAGCACTCTGGGAGGCTGAGGTACAGACTGGGCAACTTAGTGAGACCCTGTTTCAAAATAAAAAGGGAAAAAAAAAGAAAAAAAGAAAAAGGGCTGGGGATGTAACTCAGTATGGAAGCCTTGGGTTTAATCCCCATTACCCCAAAATAAAAAGAAACAGCTTAAATGTGTGGTAATACACTTGAAGGATGCTGATGCTGCATCCCTCAACTAGCTCATTTGTCCTCATTTTCCACTTCAACTGATTATGATCATCTTGCTTGATTAAAAGCAGTCATATAAGGATTATTTATTAGGCAAATGCTTAATTAAGCTAGATCAGTTATTAAGCTGACACTTGAGGCTTAGGAATAAAAGAAGTGGAAATTTAATATCAAACTATGGAGGAAGGAAAAGTGTGATTAGTCAATCATATCTTCTGTCAGACAGGCAAGCTTTTGAATGTGCCCATGCCTCCGAAGCCCTCGAAGCATCAATGAAAGGAGAAGGGCCTGGAGACAGCATGTTCCAGGTACTTAGGAGTTGCCTAGTAACTTGTTGTTGGAGGGGGAGGGACTAGCTCAGGGCCCAGGGGAAGGTCTACACTAGGATTCTGACTTCAGAAAGCTGGAGAGACAGAAGGCTGAGGACTAAAACAGAGAGGGTAATTCTTAATGGCATCAGGATCCCAAAGATGACGAGCTGCCAGCCTGGACTGCCAGTAATGCCCAGAACTGTACTGTGGCTCTGAACCACATAGCCCGGAATTTGAACTGGAGAACCAGCATGCCCTGTTAAGTGGAAGTCCTCCCACTTCCAGACATGGAGTCATCTTACTCATTTGGAGTGATCCTTGCTGTCCTGGCCTTCCTCATCATTGCTGTAAATGCACTAGTGGCTGTGGCTGTGCTGTTGTCAATCCACAAGAACGATGTTGGTCTCTGCTTCACTTTGAATCTGACTGTGGCTGACATCTTGATTGGTGTGGCTATCTCAGGCCTCGTCACAGACCAGCTCTTCATCTCTGCTCAGCCCACACAGAAGACCCTGTGCAGACTTCGAATGGCATTTGTCACTTCTTCTGCAGCTGCCTCTGTGCTCACGGTCATGCTGATTGCCTTGGACAGGTACCTTGCTATTAAGCAGCCCCTTCGCTACTTCCAGATCATGAGTGGGCTCATGGCTGGGGCCTGCCTTGCTGGGCTGTGGTTGCTGTCTTACCTCATTGGTTTCCTCCCACTCGGAGTCCCCATGTTCCAGCAAACCACCTATCAAAAGGTCTGCACTTTCTTTGCTGTATTTCACCCTAGATTTGTGCTGATCCTCTCCTGTGCTGGATTCTTCCCAGCCATGCTCCTCTTTGTCTTCTTCTACTGTAACATGCTCAAGATTGCTTCCATGCACACCCAGCAGATCCGAAAGATGGAACATGCAGGAGCCATGGTTGGAGCTTACCGGCCCTCACGGTGTCCCAGCGACTTCAAGGCTATCCGCACCGTGTCTGTTCTCATCGGGAGCTTCACTCTATCCTGGTCCCCCTTCTTTATCACCAGCATTGTGCAGGTGGCCTGCCAGGAGTGCAACCTCTACCCAGTGCTGGAAAAGTACCTGTGGCTGCTTGGTGTAGGCAACTCCCTGCTTAACCCACTCATCTATGCCTATCGGCAGAAGGAGGTACGGCAGCAGCTCTACTACATGGCCTTGGGAGTGAAGAAGGGGCTCACATCATTCCTCCTTCTCTTCTCAGCCAGGAATGGTGGTCCGGATAGGCCCAGGGGAAGTTCCTGTCATATTGTCACCATCTCCCACTTGGAGATTGATGGCTAAGATGGTAAGGAAAGAGAAGTTTCAAAGCGCCTCTGCCCTCTTTACTCTGAGCCCCAACTAGGAGATGGAGCTAGGGGAATGACAGAACTGTCCTCAGGCAATTGATTACTCCACCTCCCCCAACCCCTCACCCCTAGAACCAAGGGTAACTGATGCAAGATCCTGATTCTCTTCTATAATCAGTTTCTCTATTTGCAAGTCTCCACTCCTCCCTGTCCTTATTTTAAAGTGAGCCTGTCACTTGAACAGGTATACATAAAGAAAAGTACTGCTAATATATATATTTTAGACAGGGTCCCAAGGTGGCCTTGAACTTGCTGTGTAGCTCAGATGTAGCTCAGGCTAGCTTTAAACTCCCAATCCTCCTGGTTCAGCCTCCCAAGTGCTGGGATTAGAGGCCATACCTGGTTTCTAATCCTATTTTTTTTTAATATACCAGGGCAACACTGTCTAACAGAAATATAATGGAAGCTACATACATAATTTTTAATGCTTTAGTAGCCATGTTAAAAAGGAAATAGGAAAAAATTAATGTTTTAGCCTCAGGCTTTAATATTTAATAATTTTAAGTGTATATAGAGAGGGGTACAGTGTGATAGTTCAATACATGTGTATAATATGTACTGATCTAATCCGAATAATTAACATTTCCATCCCTGTAAAGATTAATGTTAATGCTTCACTTAACCCAATATATCCAAACTACTATCACTTAACATAATCAATATTAAAAACTATTCTTTTCATATAAGTCTTTGAAATCTGGAGTGTATTTCACTCTTACAGAACATCTCAATTTAAACCATACTTCAAAACCTCATTAGCCATATATAGCTAGTTGCTCCCATATTAGACAGCACAGCACTAGAGAACTTAGGTTATTTTCTTTGTAAATGTATATTATAATGATTTACTACAAAAACTTGCTTTGGTAATGTGAGGAGTTCCTCTACTTTCTGCCATTCCCAATGTGAATCAGAGATTTTATATAGAGTCAGAGTCTAAAGCTTATCTTTTCTCACACCTCATGGTCTCGGGGGTTCAAAGAATGGGAGCACTTTTCGGGGGAGAATAGCCTATCTTATGAATATTTCTGCTATTACCCTCCTAGTCCACCATATTTTTCCACTATCTTGTGCCTGCTCCCATCAGTTGCTTCATATGTCACTTGTAGCTACTTGCTGAGGACACACAGCTAACTCACACATTCTGAGACACTGAAAGGGAAGAAAGAGGGAAAAGAGGTAGACACCAAGGCAGGTACTGCCAAGCTCTCCAGACTGAACCCACTTTGCTCCTCAGAGCTACACTTTATTCCATTTGCTCCTAAATTTGCATGATACTTTGTATTTGGATTTCCTGGATTCTCCTTTAGTCTTAGATTAGCTCTCAGCTTTCTTTCATCAGACATTCAGAAGATAATTATTATCCTTTTGAGTTTCTGTACTCTTGAAAATTCCCTTCTTCCTATCTTTACCCTCTATCTAATAGCCTGTTTCTCACTCAGCTATTCTTCACATCATCCCTCCTTTGGTAAGTTGTTTTTCACCATAGCAGACTTTTATGTTTGTTTTCACTATTGCAAGCTTTTATGTTGCAGTAAATAACCGAAGACATTTTTGGTTCTTGAGTAGATGATGAAACTCAACAGGCCTTTAAGTGTTGAGCATCCGGCAAGTCACAGTTGATGCTAGCACAGTCTTGGATTGGGTTGGGAACTAGGCAAAATACAAATAATAACTGAATTTTGGACAAAATTGAAAGCAGGCTCAAACCAATGCCCTCCTTATTGTTGATTCAAAGCGTAATTCCTGGCCTTGCTGCAAAGGATGCATGTGACTAAGGTAACATAAGCAAAGTGTAATGAAGTTTACTTAATTGGCCTGATTTAATCATTCTACATATATGAAAAGTCACATTGTACCCCATATATATGTACAATTATTATTTGTCAATTTACAATTAATCTTAAAGATTTTTAATGCTATGGGAGAAAAGGAGGAGTGGCTAGGTGAAAAGTGTGTTCTTAGGTTCAGTCTGACCAAGAGATGCTGCTATCCCTGGGAGTCAGTATGTGCAGCTGAAAAATCATGGGCTTTTAAGTCCAAAAGACAAGTATTGAAATTATGATTCAGTTATTTATACTTTCAAAACTAAATTCCTCTTCTGTTAAATTGCGGTAAGAATGACTACCTTATTATCGGTAACATATGTGAGAACACCTAGTGAACTATACAGAACAGTGTGGGTGTCCAGAAAAATGTTAGTTTTCTTCCTTAAAAATCCTAAATAAAACAGCCAACTGCCCCACTTAAAGGGAGTCCATCATATTCAACTATGATCCACAAGACAAAGACATTTTGACTCAGAACGTTGAATTACTCAACTCCTGAGTAAGGTTTTACAGAATGAGTAATAATAGGTAACCAGGTAGAAAAAGACAAGTAGTACATCTAATACCTTAGCAGTATCAAGACAGAGCAGGCAGAAACAAGGCATTAACTCTGGTATCATACATTTTGGTTCAAGAGTAACTACAACGAAGAACACTTTAATAAGCTGCCAAGAGCAGAGATACAGAATGCTATGCAAAAGTTTAATGGCTTTCTTTTTTTTTTTTTTTTTTTTGGTACCAGGGATCGAACTCAGGACCTTGTGCTTGCAAGGCAGGCGGTGGAACAACTGAGCTAAATCCCCAGCCCTAATGGCTTTCTTTTATGCAGGCTCCTTCACAGATAAGAAAATGCATTGGAGAGGATCCAGTCATGCATCCAATGTGTCTTCTGACAGACTTGCAAAGAGGCCAGATTCTGTTCAGTAATTGATCAAGATATTAAGACTTTGTAGGATACAATATAGGTCAATTGACTCCATTCATAGTTTCCAAGAGCAACTTATCATGGATTTGTTATAAAAACTGAGACAATACTAAGTTATATATTAAATCCTTAGGTAGCTACAGTTATGCATATTGCACCTCAGTTTCAGGACTACTCTTAAGAACATAAGAACACATAGCTCCCTGTACAAGGAAGGGTGTTTTGAATAGTTTTACGAGTGTTAGAGGCAGGTTGCCTTGAACTACCAACACTCTCCTGTATGACCAATAAGCCCACCTCTGGGAGTTAGCCAGCCAGTTAGCCTTGGGATACTTTCCCTGGATGAACTAGTATTAACTGGTTCAAATGGGAATTGAACTCATGACCTTGATTTAATTCTCACCAAGCTCAGTCTCTGGCCAAACTGAATAGAGACCAATAAAAAGAGCAAGCATGAGAAATACTTCAAGGGCACACACAGAATAAGAGGAAACATGATGTCAATATCTGTGCAAAAAGAGTAGCAATGGACTCAAGCACAAAGCACAGCTCCTTGTCTATCACCAGGCACTTAATTTTATGATTCCTTCAGTATCTTCCATGTTATCTTTCAAAAACTGCTGATAGGTCTGGAATCTTCTTTTAATTAATAGATCCTCATGTGTTATTTCTGCAGTCTTATACAGTCAATGGTGGTACCTACAAATGTCCACTATCATTCATTTGTCTAATCATCTGTCCAGCTACTGATCCCACAAGTATTTGAGAGCAAGGTGCTAAAACTGCCCTATCTTTGATAGCATTTCTTTTAGAGATACATATTAATGTATGAATGATGTTTATTATTCCTTTATGATTATAAAAGTTTTATTCATTTTAGAAAAATTTAAAATATGGAAAATTACAAGATACCCATAATTAGACTAGAAATGACCAGTTATTCCCCTTCATCTTTTTATACTTAACATTATACTGTGCATGTTTTCCTGTCATTAAGTCTTCTTCAAAACTGTAACTTGTATTGGTTGCATGTTTTTTTAATGAATATGTAACATCTTAACAATTTCTCTATGGTTGTGATAAAATTGAGGTTATTTCCAATTTCTCATTGTTATAACACCACCACAAATGCCCTTTGTATAAATCTTTGACATCTCTGTTGAATTTCTTAAGGATAAATTCTCCAAAGCAGTATTTATTACTAAATGAAGGGACATTAAACATTTATAAGAATTATGATTCTGACTTTTGCTGACATTTCTTGAAGTGTAATGTTGCCCTGACATATATGCTAAGAGAAGTCATAAATGAATGATAAATGAACAGACTACAGTGAATTAAGTATCTCCAAGAAATAAAAGCATATGAATTCCTGAAAGCATAAACCATATGGAGGGAGTTAATTGTTTTAACAAAAGGAAATTTTTGATATGCCCTACTGCTAGTGTTGTTGATCTGTCTCCTACAAATTCAGAAATCTGGACTAACAGAACATAGCAGCTTAAGAAAGCACCTCACCTTGTAGATGTGAAGGGGATCTGGCTGCAATCACCAGGCTGATGCAGCTGATCTACTTGGCTAGGTGGGCATCCCCTTCCTCCCTCACTGTTCCATGTGTATCCCTCCTGAAGCTGCACCCCAGATTGAAGAGGACCTTCTCTGATAAAAGACCATTCTTTACACAAGTGTATACGAGTAGCTGCACTTCCTTGCCAAAAACTGTAAATGAAAAACACCTCATGATGCAAATACATCATCAACGCAGCACTATGTAATATCCAGAGAGCAATTTCAATGTTTCCACCCTTTAAATTTTCTGAGGTAGTCTCTGTGCTCTATCAGAAAATGCTGAGTAAGTATGAGAGTAAAACATTTACACATGGAGCTTGGAGACAGTTCTTGATGCAGCTGAAGCCTTGAAGTCATAGTCCTACAGTTTGCTGAATGGAAGATGTGCTCAACCTAATGGATCAACTGTGGCAGGGCAAAGGGCATGACTGCCTAACATGCTACTACCAGCCATATGTTCACTGGATTCACAAGCTGTTAGAACCATAATCAGCCACTGTGTTCAATGAGCTCTCTCATGAAGAACCTTAGAAACGACTAATGCAGCTGCTAAGGGCCTCAGAGCCTGTTTTAATGCACAAAGTAGTTCCTGTTTCTTCTAAAACCCCTTCTACATAATGGGGCAGGCAGCATTCATTTGCTTCTGAGCTCTGGAAGAACTAAGATCATAATGGAGGCACAAGAGCTTGAGGTCTCTGCATCTGTTTAGGTTTATTTTATTTGGTATGTTGCCCAACGATCCCATGATTAAATCACATTTCCCATTTATTTTTTCAGAGTTTTACTATAATAAATCCTTATCAGTTTCAGTTCTGTCTCAATTGTATTGATACTAAGGCACTAGAAAGCTGATAAACATGCTGACATAACATAGGCCCAGTAAAATGTCACACTTTATAAAACTTCAATGTGCTTTTACCACCTGTAGTATTTTTACAGATTTGTCCATTGAACTAATCAAAAAATTTAAAACACTTTCTATAGAAAATCAAATAGGTGTCATAATATCATTTCAAAGGTTGTTTAAAAAAAAAAAAAGTGAAATCCTAGCTACTCTGGAAGCTGAGGCAGGAAAATCACAATTTAAGGCCAGCCTGAGCAACTCTGCCAGACCCTGTCTTAAAACAAAATAAGGGCTGGGGATACAGATCAGTAACCCTGGGTTCAATCCCCAGTACTGAAGGGGGAAAGGGGAGGTGAGATACAGAAACCAAGAAATTATGGCCGACTGGCTTGGATGTTATTTCAAAGGTAAAAAAAAAAAAAAAAAAAGACTCATAATCCAAACATTTCTTATACAAAATTCCAACCACTACTTTAACATTATGAAGTCCTTTAGTAACCTTGTACAATAAATTCATTAAATTGTTTTTCTGACTTACTAAGTGAGGGAGACAAGGATGCATGAAGAGCGTTTACTGACCAGTGAGCCACAGCTCAAAATACAATTGGATTCTGATGCTGAGACACTGAATAGAAAGAGGAGAAATATCGTTTGCAGTGAAATTTTAGGAATTAAGATTACTGAAGAATGGCCATTCTGAGGCAACACGAAGATATTTGACTAAAAAGAAGCAATTTTATGACTTTAATTTATATGTAAGATCCTACTGGACTAGGCTTAAAAAAACCTCTTAAATGATATGCTATAGTGAATACAAAACAATTATTTATAATCAGGTTCTTACTAGTTTAATCATTTGTCCATAAGTTTGCTTAAAACCGAAATATTTCTTTGCATTGGAGGTGAGAGGGTGACAAATCTAGGCCCATGTCCAAATTGCTAAATTTCAAGCTAGTGGAATCTGTATCACAGGTCTAATGTCCAAAAGGAACAAGTCTGTGTGGTGCTGATGTGCTGTCTCTGACAGGAAGGACTTCTTTCTGAACCTTGCTGTGCTACCCCTGGTGAACTGTATTCACTTAAGATTGGAGGAAGAGGGGTGGGTAGTGATGAAGGAGGTCATAGAGAAAAAACAGCCAACAAAGGAACAAGAAGGAAGCAGTAGAAAGCAGAGTATAAGGGGAAAATAATATATTCACTGTCATAGGTCACCAGGAAAATAATCTAAATCTGGTATTACAGGTACATGTCAAAGAGTGACAAAGCACAAAAATGATTGACCTTCTTTCTCCTGGGGTGCTGTAATAATAGGGGAATTAATGAAATCAATATTCTTTAGTGCTCACCTGCTATAAACTTTAGTGATTCAGGACAAGGTACGTTAGCCCACTTCTAGGATTGTGATTATACACAGAGGCTCATGAGCCAGACTGCCACTTTTCTAGAGACAAATTATTACACCTATCTGTGCCTTAGCCTCTCATCTAAAAAATTAGAATAGTACCTACCTCATAGGAGTGGTAGTAAGGATTTAGACAGTTTTATAAACATAATAGCCTTAGAATCGTACCTGGAACCTAGTAAGAGCCATAGAATTAGCAGCTATTATTTGTTTCTCAATTTTTTTTTACCTGAGAAAGGGTCTCACTATGTTGCCCAGGCTAGCCTCCAACTCCTAGGCTCAAGTAATCCTCCACCCTCAGCTTCCTGAGTAGCTGGGGATAAAGGTGTGTGCTGCCAATGGTAGGCTTAGCTATTTTTATCTGACTTGTCTCTCTCCAGCCTCTCAAAAAATGGAGGGTGGAGAGCTTTTTCAACTTCTAGCCTACAGACTTTTTTTCAGCCTACAGATTTTGATCATCATTTCATCCCTTCAAATATGACTTGCTAGGGAATAGGATGTGGGTTGTGAGAGAGAGAATAGAGTTAAGGATTACTTCAAGGCCTAAACCACTAAAAGCGCTTTTAGGGGGCAAATCAAGAATTTTGTTTTGTACATGTTAAGTTTATATGTCTATTAAAATTTAATAGAAAAAAATGAAACAGAGATGGAGTAGGCAGCAGGGCACAAAAGTACAGAGTTCAGGGGAGAGGAACAGGCTGGGAGTGTACATTTGGAGGTCATCAGCATATAGACAATATTTAAAGCCATGGCAACACTGCCCTTCTAGTGACTCAGGCTTGATGTAATCCTTATCCCACAATCATCTATGTAGTAATTTAAGTTTAATTCAATTTAAAGCCCATAATATTTGCTGAACCTTTATCTTTCTAGGCAATTTATCCAATCCTTTGGCTACAAATCAATTCATTTATTCATATAACAAATATAGTGGTACCTTGGTTCATGAATGCTTGGTTCACAAACAAAAATGTTTGACAAAATTTTGTTTTTATTTGCAAACCCTACAACAGGTGACAAACATGTCACAGCCACCTTTCCCGCACAAACACAAACATGGCCATCTTTTCCAAAATTGTGGACAAATTAAGTTCATAAACCAAGGTACCACTGAGTGCAAGTAACTATGCTAAGCACTATGAACCTGGCAGTAAACAAAGCTGACAAAATTCTGATCTTCACAAGCTTACAGACTAATGGGATATAGCATTAATCAAATAATCACACAAATGTAATATGCAGTTATCAGGTGTGACACATAGTATATGAAATTATGAGGAAACTTATTTAGATGAAGGGAGAGGAAATCACAAGGCTTCTTTTAACATCTGAGTTGAGGCAAACAACAGCCAATTTCCAATATATATGAATATATACTCCAAGAAACTACTTCTTAGGCTATATCACTGGGAAAAATTGTTTATCTTTTGCTTATCCATTTGGGTTTGAATGGGGTATTTGATACAAGTAGTATTTAAAAATAAATATAAACAATGAGATGCCACTACACACCTACTAAAAGGGCCCAAATCCAAAAACAATGACAACACCAAAAGCTAGAAAAGACGTGGAGCAACAGGAACTCTTGTTCTTTCCTTCTGGGAATATGAAATTGTATTTGGGAGATGGTTTGGCAGTTTATTATAAAATTAAACATGCTCTTATCTTACCATCCAGCAATTATGCTCCTTAGTATTCATCTAAATGAGTTGAAAACTTTTGTTAACACAAAAATCTGCACACAAATGTTTATAGCATCTTTAATGGCTTGCCCAAACTTGGAAGTAACCAAGATGTCCCCTGGTAGATGAATGGATAAATAAAATGTGATAGATTCAGACAGTTATTCAGAGCTAAAATGAAATGAGCTACCAAGCCATGAGAAGACATGGAAGAATCTTAAGTGCATATAACTAAGCAAAAGAAGCCAATTTGAAAAGGCTACTAGAGAATTCCAGCTATATGATATTCTGGAAAAGACAAAACCATAGAGACAATGAAAGATTCAGTGCTTGGCAGAGGTTATGAGGGAGAAAGGAACAAACAGAACCACAGAGGATTTTTTTTTTTTTTTGGTACCGGGGATCGAACTCCGGTCCTTGCACTTGTGCAGCAGGCAGCAAAACCACTGAGCTAAATCCCCGGCCCCAGAGGATTCTTAAGGCAGTGAAACCATTCTATATGATTTTCTAAAGATATATACATGCTGTTAAACATTTGTCAAAATGAATAACATATTATGCACATAACGTCCACTCTTCTCTTAACTTGGCTCAAGTGTCACCTCTGCTATGAAGTTTTGGCAAATTCTCTAGGGAAGGCTGTTTCTCCTCTCTGCTCCAAAAGCACTTTGTCTCTCACAAAGTACTTAAAACCCACTGTAATAATTTACTTATATACCTGTTCCCCTACTATAATGTGAGCTTAAACATACACTGTTTTATGCATTTTGGGGTCTTTTTTTTTCTGAGACAGGGTCGCACTATGCAGTCCAGGCTGGCCTCAAACTTGCGGCAATCCTCCCGCCTTAGACTCCCGAGTGCTGGGAATACAGGTGTGTGCCACCACACCCAGCCTTGTTTTATGCATTTTAATATTTCAGCATCTAGGAAATAATGAACACATAATAAATGAACAAACAAATGAATGCATAAAGATGAAGACCTAAACTATTCATTCCACCAAAATTTAGTGCCTATTCTAGTACAAGAAAGTAGGTAGAACCTTTTGCCCGGCTCTTACCATTTTATCTGCAGAAACTTTCAAATGAGCCAGTTGCTCGTTTATTCATGCTTAGGAAAGAGCCACTTGCCTGATGTTTAGAAACAAGTGTCATGACAATAAATAGCAGTGAGAAAGCACAATGCAATTATTCTATCCCCAAAAGGTGTATTTTAAGAGACCAGGATCAATTTCATAGTCACCCTTTGTCACTTTTGGGAGAATGTAACTTAAAAGAGTTGGCAAAAGGGAAAATAGTAAATAAAGACAGTCAAAGTGATTCTGCCAATAAATACTTTACTAAGAACCAAGGTCTACAGCATACATTTCAGTAACTGTCCCAGCCTATATCTTCTGCTCTTACCCAGATCTGGGGCCAACGAACTACATTTAACCCACATTTGGACAAATGGCCATTTTGAATGTTACCCATCAGTATCCATCTTCACAGAAGATACCAATCTGGCACCAGAGTTTCAATGTAAACAGTTCCTCTCAGGGAAAAGTTAACATGGTAACACAAATGCATGAGCAAAGCTGAACCATCCTATTGTTCTTTGATCAGGAGAGTTGGGAGACCACTGGTTCAGTAAACACAACTTTGTCAAAACACATTAGAACACGAAAAAGGGGTAAAGAAAAACAGTAGAAAGGCTGGCTGAGCTGGGCTCTCATATATCCAGTTCTTATATTTGAAGCCTCTTGAGCTGCTCGTATGTAATGAAAAACTGAAAAGTAAGTCATGGAAAATGTCTGAATTGATACTGAAAAGCAAACCCAGTTCTAAATTGTGCATTGCATTTTCTTAAATTAAGGCATTTAATCTGTGCTACTCTAAGCTTCATTGCCTTAAAACTCTTTTTTAAAAACAACACCTGTCAAATCAAATGTGCTGAGTGCCTACTATGTGCCCACTATGATCATTCTCACTTAGCAATATAAACAGATTAAAACTAATACCGTTTTCAGTGTGAGAAAACAATACACACACAATACACAAGAACATGCATGATAACATAAAATTCAGTGCTTGAGAAGTGGTTGCACAGTAGGTATTCAGACCAATTCCAAAAGTTTGAGAAAGAGATGTTATCTCTGTCCACCTACAGACCCCACAAGGTCAGGGAATTAATTTCAAACCTGCAGTACTCACCAATTTACACACAGCACCACACATAGTATCCATTACACGGCTCTGCACATAGGAGGCACTCAAACACAGTTAAAAGAGGGAGACTGACCCACAAGTGCATCTCTTATCAGGTTTTTTTTTCTTTTTTCTGGGGGTGGTGGTGAGGGGGATACTGGGGATTGAACCCAGGACCTTCACACTGAGCTATATCTTCAATCCCTTTTTTCAATTTTATTAGTACCTGTTCACAGTACATAATGATTACACTGCTCATGGGGATTGGTACATTGTACATAACACATCTTAATTCTTTTTTCATCCCCTTCCCCTCTCCCTCCATCTCTTGGTCTCCTTCCCTCTTGCAAAAGATCTGAGACAGAGCCTGCTAAGTCACTAAATTGCCCAGGTTAGGCTTGAACTTGAGCTCCTCGCAGCCCCCCAGAGTCCTGGGATTACAGGCATGAACCACAGCACCTGACTTCCCATCAAGGTTTCTAAAAACTCCCTTGCCCCTTTCACACTGGATGTACTTGTTGTCATTTGGTTTTTGTTTCTCTTGATATGTGTGTGTCTGTGTGTGTATTAATCTTACAAAATACTAGGTTTCATTGTGGCCTTTTCTTGCATGTATATAACATATTTTGATCATATGCATCCTTCTACTACCCTCCCTTATACCTCTTTACCCTCCCCTTCCCGTCATTTTGTTTCAAAGAGGAGAAGAGGAAAGTTTGGCATATCTTTTCTACCTACTTTAGTCTCTATTAGCCTCCAACTGAAGGCTGTTTATTTACTTCCATCCTCAACAGTCACCAACGGGATAGTTTCTTACTTGTCTTAAGGCTTTAATAATCAAATTTCCTTCCCATAACCTGGAATTACCTGGGATCTTGAAACATTTTGCTTTATTTTCACATCGTAAAAGGATACAATGATGTTCCAGGGTCCAAGTCGAAGCCAGTTTGGCCAAAATCCTTTATAGAGTGCAAAAAAGCCCTCATGTTTCCACATCTGAGGGAAAGACAACCAAAAATAAAGTGAGTTACCCTTTCTCTTTACATTTGACAGCCATCTTCCACTCTACTCTAGTAACTTATGGCTCCATGAATGCTCATTTTTCTAAAGATATACTCTGAATTTACATGTAGTCTAAATCTATCTACTCACTTATTCAACAAATATTTACTGAGCACCCACCATGGGGCTAAGACAGTAAACAAGACAGAGAGAATGCCTGTAGTAGCCAGTCCCCAAGATGGCCACTACTAAATCCTACCTCCAGTTATTCATACCCCTGGGTAGCCCACCATATAACATATCAAGATTAGTCCACCAATAGAATAAGACAGTTATGAACATATATTATTTCCATTGCTAGGTTATAAAAGGTACTTTATATCTAGTTCTCTCTTGGATCATTCACTCTGGAGGAAACCAGCTGCCATGTCATGAAGAAAGGCCTACATGGTTAAGAACTGAGGCCTCCAGCCAACAGCCATGTGTTACCTTTAAGGCAGATAACTTAGACCCAGGCAGGCCTTCGGCCCTAGCAGAAAAATGGGCTACAAATTCATGATAGATCTTTAGTGAGAATCACTCAGCTGAGCCACTTCTTAACTCCTGACCCACAGAAACTGCAAAATAATAACTATTGGCTGGTATGCTGACTGCTGTCTCAAACACATAAAATCCAATATTGCTTTCACAGCTGGGCATGGTAGTCCCAGCACTTCAGAGGCTGATGCAGGAAGATATCTGTGATTTTGAGGCCAGCCTGGGCTACATAGCAAACCCTGTCTTAAAAAAACAAAATCAATGTTACCACAAACAGCCTTACAATTCACTCATTCTTTCAGTGCATTCCATGTGGTTGGACATTTTTTTCCCCTCCCTCCTTTTTTTTTTTTTTTTGTACTAGGAATCCAACTCAGGACCCTGCACTTACCTGGCAGGTGTGGCGCCACTGAGCTGTATCCCCAGCCCCTCCCTTCCTTTTTTAATTCAAATTCAAATTTATAAAGGCTACACAGTTCTTAAGAGCTAATTTGAAATTACCCAGGAAAGTTTTTAATCAAGAGTCTCAAGCAAAAACAGTTCTGTAGTGTCAGAATCCTGTTAACATTTGTGAGAACCTTGATTTTTCCAATAAATAAAGACAAGGACTTTTCTAGCATTATTTCCCCTTTCGTGTTTGTCTGTTGGTCATTTCACCCTCAGGTCAGATTCTTCATGGGCTCCCATCAGGGGAATCAGTTCCATGTTTCAGAGCGTCACGTAGTGTTCAGTCCTGAGAGTGTTTGGGATGTCCTGTCCCAGCAGGTAGTTCTTTGGAGAGCTGCAGTGTGGGTTGAGTGTGTAGAGGCAGTTATTTGCTAAGAACTGTGGATGTGGTTGAGTCTTACTCAATGAGAAGACATGGGCTCTCAACTCTTACTGTGCAGCTTTAAGCCCCAGAGTTTTACTCTTCCCCCTCTGGAAAGCAGAGTTGGGGTGAGCTTCACTGCATCCCAGCTCAGATAATCTCTTGATACAAGCATTTCTCCATTCTGGGTATTGATCCTTCTCTGTGCTAGACACCCAAGTGCATGGAGGGACTATCTCCTGCTGGAGCTGAACTTTTTACCCAGTCTCTTCCTCTCATTCTGCCTGATAACCAGCTGATTGTCCTGTGTGTGTTTTTGAAAGGGTTGGGTGGGTGGGAACAGAGGTGCAGATATTAAGTTATTAAAATGCTGATGCCCATGGATAGGCTGTGGCCCCTCCTTTCCCCCAGCAGGGGCCAGGTACCTCACTTGCCTGCATTGCTGCAGCACTCAGCATTGGGCAGTCAGCTCCTGCTGTGAGAGCCAGAGCCCTGTGAACCTTCCTGGTCAGTACCGGAAAGGGCAATGCTATTTATTTTTATATTATGTATATTTTGTCGTGATCTGCTGATTCCCTGTTTCACTGAGAGCGACACTTACCTCAATAGTTAGTTCAATATTGTGTATTGGATAATTTGTTAAAAGAACTTTTTAAAAAGCTTTTTGAGCCTTGGAGGTCTGTAGATTTATTTCCATATAAACTGGTTATTTTGTATAAAGTACATTCTTAAAGCAGCAAGAAAAAAAAAACTATTGGCTGTTTTAAGGCACTGGGTTTGGGGGTAATTTGTTACAGAATAGATCATTTGTATAGTCCCTGCCCTCATACAGTGTATATGTAGTGGGGCTGACAAGCAAATACTATAGTCTATATTTCCTAGAATCATAAACTGTTAAATGACAAGGGACTTCAGAGATACAATGTGGTACCATCACCTCTTACCTGGAGTACCACAAGGTCATTAATTGTTCTAAAATCTCTACATAGAAGCCAGAACAATTTTTAAAATTATAAATCAGATCATGTCACTTTCCTGCTACATGCTCTCAGAGCGCTTCCTGGTAGACTTCATTCTGCAAAATATATATATATATATATATATATATATATATATACACACACCAGAAATAAGTGTTACAAAGAAACCAAACACAAAAAAATAAGCAGTTGGGCAAGTCACTCTCCTTCTCTGATTCTGTTTCATCATTATAAATCCTGTGCGATGCCATGCCTATTTAATGTGAATGCTTTGAGGATTACACAAGGAACATCGCAACTGCTCAGAGTTTGGGTTTCCTCTTTTATACAATGGGGATCTCTATAAACACCAAGTAGTTATAAGAACTATGTGACAAATTATGAATATCAAAGGTCACATAAACTGGTGGTCTGTGCTGAATTCAGCCAGCAGGAACGGTTCATATGTAACAAAGAACTATTCAGCAACCACAATATGTTAGGCATTGTGTTAGATATTGAAATATTTTGCCTTTCCACTGGTTGAGTAAATTTTACCACTATTCTAAACAGTGGATATATTTGAACAACGTAATAATATGAGAGCCCAGACTTGCAAATATCCCTTATTTAAGAACACTAGAGATAATTATCCTTACTAACCAATTTTGGGGGGAACAAATAGTAACATAATAAGGGTACCACTTAGGGAAAAACAGTGGTAACATGCTTCTACCAATGGATCTTCAGAAAATTCTGAAGGCCTCAGGCCAAAACTGATACTTGAAAATTACTCAAAATAAAGCCTACTTGCAGGTAACCTAGAATCATAAACTGTTAAACAAGAGACCTCATAGATACAATCCAATCCTATTATCTCTTACCTGGAGTACCATAGCAAACTCCTAATTGTTCTAAAATCTTTACGTAGAAGCCAGAACAATTTTTTTAAATTATAAGTCAGATCATGTCACTTTCCTGCTACAAGATCTCAGAGGGCTTCCTGGTAGATTCCATTCTGATTGTGAATTCTCCATAGTAACCTGCATGATCCTACATGATTTACTGCACCTCTCCGCTTTCACATCCTACTAATTTCTCCTTCATTCACCATACTCAGTCATAGGAGCTTCCTTCCTAACCTTTGACCATGTCAAGATCATTCCAGACTCAGCCCTTTTGTGACCTATTCCTTCTTTATTAAATCCTTTTCTCCAAGTTTTTCATATGGCCACCTCCTTCTCATCATTTACATCTGTTTAAAAATCACATCCTCACAGGATTTTCCTCACTAATCTAGCTAGAGTAGTTCCACAGAGTCCCTATTTCAATATGTTATTACTGTATTTTCATCATAGCATTTCCTTCTATCTGAAATTATGCCATACATTATTTATACATACATTCTTTGTCTCTTTCAGCTATAGTGTTATTTCCAAGAGAGCAGAAACTATGTTTGTTTTCTTCACCAGTACATTCCCACCACCTCACAATGTCTTGGGCACATTAAACTTTGTGGCAAATATTTGTTGAATAAAAATTGTGCACACGAAAAGAGTAAGGATCTCTAACACTTCTGTGAGCCATTTGAATCCTTAGAAATCTCTAACACAGTGACAAATTTCTTCAAAACATTAACACTGGAAAGTACTTGTTTTCTGGAGATGGTTGTGTGGAAAAAAATGAGAACTTCCATAGATTAAACCATAAACAACAGAATACTTCATGAAGTGATATAGGTTTGTTCATTTAATAAATACAGTGGACCCTTGACTTCTGAACTCAATTTGTTTGCAAGGGCTGGCTGTAACTCAAGTCGGTCAATTGAAGGCTCAGGTTCCTCCTCACAACCTTCAAAGTCTCTCTCCTATATACAGGCAGATCTCAGTGTCCTTAGAGAGATACTGGCCCAGAACTTCTCAATTAACCCCACACAGGAAAGGATGTTATAATGTTCCTTCCAGCACTCTTTAAGGATTAAATCTGTATCTGAAGGGCTGGAAATGTAGCTCAGTAATACTGCACTAGCTTAGCATGTGTGAGGCCTTGGGTTCAATCCCCAGTACTGCAAAAACAAAAATACGTATCTGAGACCATCTGGAAGCACAAGTGGCTGGCATTCAGATCATAACTCAAGACTTTGGTCGTAAGTTAAAACTAATATTCCAGTCATAACTCAAGTTATTCGTATGTCAGGCCGGTCATAACTTCAGGGTCCACTGTAATTTGTTGTGGATAAAATGATACACAAGACACATACAGCTCTGCCTTCATGGGATTTAGACTCTACTGAGACAGATAGACATTAACAGCAATTACAACAACACTCTAGGAGGCTGAGGCAGGAGGATCACAAGTTCAAGCCTAGCCTGGGCAACTTAAAGAGATTTAGCAAGACATCATTTCAAAATAAAATTTCAAAAAGCTGGGGATGTAGCTCAGTGCAAAGACCCTGAGTTCAATCCTCAGTACTGCAAAAATAAATAAATAAAGCAAGCCAGTCCAAAAGGTCATATATTATATGACTCCATTTACATGGAATATCTAGAACACGCAAATCTACAGAGATAGAAAGTACATTAGTGGTTTCTTAGGACAGGATAGATGGGGGCTATGGGGTGATAGCTAAAGGGCAAAGAGATTCTTTTTGAGGTCATTTTCATGTTCTAAAATTATGGGTAACAACTGTA